TTTTTCTAAGAGACATTATGCAGATTTGGACACTGAGATCACTTCATGTTAAATTTTAAATTTGGGATGAAATTTGATATTAAAAAAATTTGAGAAAACAGTGCCTCTTGTCTTTGAAGCTTGAAACTGAAAGGCCCTTTACATCATTTTTGTAGATCATTCACTGTCATTAAGTGTTTTTCCCCAAAATTCTGTGAAGGGAATAATCTGAAATCTACAAGCTAAAGAGCATCATTCATCACCACCTGTCAGAGAGCAAGAAGTACATCAGTAATGTAAGTATCCGGGTTAACATACACCTGCAACTCTGCCCAGCTGATAGTTCACCTCTCCTTCACATTAAGACAACCTTCTTCAAATAGGTCCATGCACATCAAATCCATGTGCACTTTTTTTTTTAGGAACAGTTTTGGGTAATTTGGAGCCAAAAACAGTCTGAAGACCGGTGTACAAGGAAGCAAGGAAATACCAGCTTCTTTCCAGAATACCAAGACTGTGAAGGTAGAAAGGCTGGATATTCCCACAGAGATCTGGTGCAGGGCAGGAGGGCACACTAAGTCCTGTCAGCCATCTCACATGAGCACTACCAAGCCCATGCTAAAAACAAGGCAAGGTAGTGCAGCTACTCTTTATAAAGTATCAAGTTACATCTGGCCCTGCCACAGGATTTCATGGTTTTGTACAGTTGCTTTCCAGGTAATGGAATCATGCTAAACTCAACGCTCATAAGAAAAGAATAGGCCAAAAAAAAAAAAAGGATGAAAAACGGTCCTTTGCTATGCTTGCTTATGCCTGACAGAGAACCAACTTAAAGTCCACATGTAATTTTAATAAATTTCATCCACATCTCAACATCTTCCCTCTATCATTTCTCCAGCAGCCAGACTTCTCCCCAAACAAAGCATGGCATTGTTACAGCAGCTCCCTTTTTCCTTTGTGCAGCCAGAACAAGATCCAGCTCCTACCACAAACACTCTACAAAAGGGAGACTGGATGCCTTCTGATCAGAAAACATTGCCAAGTCCACCCTTAATGATCACTTTGAGGATGAAAGTGCCAAGTGGCTGTGGGACACGCTGGCTTTTCAAGGAGGTGAGATGGGGTGCACCACATGCAACCTAGTGAAAAGTCTCTGAATGAACACTTGTGTCAGCAAGATGAGTGAGGAAATTTTAATATACCAGTTACTAGACTAGGCTCAAACCAAAAGTCTGGTGATTTTCAAAATCCAAAGCCTCATCTGAAGAGTTTGCTAATTACACTGATTTCTGTAACAGGCCAAACCAGGACATTGGATTCCAAATAACCCTCCAACTTGGGTTGGCTCAGATTCTGGATCCAATGTCTGCGGTGTGGGAGAATAGAAAACCAGAAGGGATAAAGGGAAAAAATCACCCTTGCTCCATGGATCTCTAATACAGGGCCACCTCTGATGCACTTTAAAAAAATATATAATGAGACCACTATAATATATATTCCAGCCAAAATTCTTGGCTCCCAAAATCAGCTTTATATGGTATGCAATATAGAAACACCCAGGAGACGCTATAAGAACTTTGACAAGGCTAATATTAAGCTAGAACAAAACAGAACTACTGGCACCAGCTCCACTCAGCTCTTAAGTAAACTTGTCCCATTAAAAAGTAGCCTCTAAGATATTTTCTCTCTGAAGTGTATAGTAGCTTATAAAAAGCAGGAAGAGTTGCCAAGATGTAGATGTGTTCAAGTACTCCTTACCCTCATTAAAGAACATTCCCTGGCAGCCAGCAGCTCGGAGCATTCCAGTGAACCAGATTTTATAAGAGGGGTGTTTACGGTGGTGTAAGACGTAAGCTGGAAATCATGGTGCACCGTAGCAGCCGTGTACTAAATAGCTGTCTTTGGGGCCTTATCAGTCAGGGCGCAGGATACGACTTGCAGGATGGTCAAGCAAATTCAGATATAAATGAGTATTAAGAAAACAAATGACAAGGCTTTCTGCTCTGTAGGAAGAAAGATATCGAGAGATTCCAGTGCCTGCAGAGGAGTTAGGTAGTGGAAAACCACAGAGGACTTGGTTCTCAATTCCTCTGGTTTCATATGCAACACGGAGATGTCTTCAAAGCAAGCAATTACGTAATTTAGCTTCTTAATGTTCCCCCTTATTTCCACAGGAGTTAGGAGTTAAATTATTTTGTGGGTCTGGATTTTACTTGTCTCGATCATTTAAAGGCTACTTTCCCTTTTCATTTCAGCGTCCAACAAATCTTCTGCCTGGGGGCGTTGTTCACTGGAAGAGGAATCAACTAATTATCTAAAACAGAAGGTCTTTTCATCCGTAACACCTCTGAAGAAATAGGAATGAGAAGATCTGCATTTCTCTCTTACAGTATGAGTGCTAAGTACATATAAATATGTCTTGTTCTCTAGAGTTGCTCATTTTTCCTCCTTGCTACAACCTAGTCACTGTTTTTCCAAAAGCTTTTCAGTTTCACTTGAAGAAGGATCCCCATTTTTGTGGCTCTAAAGCAAGCTGATAGTTATCCAAACCATTCCGGCTGCATACGGAAATACAATTTATCACCTGTTGATAAATACATGCTGTCAGTAGCTACACAGCTGACCTTATTCCTTGTCATGTTTGGGGAAATCCAGAAGTGCATGATTTGTATATTTTGTGATTTTAGACAATACTATCACTGAAGAAAGAAGATGCTGAACTCGCACCATATGCACCTGTGCTTTGCCAGAGACGGGATAAGTTTGTTGCAAATGTCAGCTAAGCTGCCCCATCAAGAATAAGGAAACAGCCTGTGCAAAATAACAGCTGGGTACAGACACGTGAAGAGTCCCAGAGTGGAATACTCCCACACAGACGTCTGAATTCTCCCAGAGTGGAACTTAAAAACAGCAAAGAATCAGATAGTCGGAACAGTCCCTCTTTGATAAAAGACTGGAGAAGCAGATAGGTAGGCTCCCACAGCATCTTGTTAGCTGCAGCCCAGTAAGATAGAAAGCAAATGAGATAACTTAGTCTGCATGGAAAATGCTTGAAAAGGAAAGTCCCAGCCTGGCACCTTTCTGTAGAATTTGAGTAAAGTTTCAGAGATGCTCATAAGTGAACAAGAAGCAGAGATGTGGGAACATGAACACACAGGTTTTTTTGTGTTTTGTTGTTGTTGTTTCTGTCGATATGAATCTTGTTTTTGTTTTTCTTTTTTATGGCTAGGTAAAGTAACAGGATTTAGAATGCTTACAAAGACTACATGTGAGGCATCAAATGTTTAAATTATCACATAACTTCAAGAGGTGGATCATCAGTCCAGAGTTGCCTCAAGTCAATGTTCAGGATTTTGGGATAACTAAAAAAAATCAAGGAATTAAACCACATCTTGGAGGTCTAAGGTGACTGAATGGTGAAGTTTCATCTCCTTGGGGAAATAATAAGGTGACAAAGCATTCAAGAAATGCAGTGGAGACAGCAAGCAATGGGCCAGTGCCATAGCTTATTCAAACTGAGAAGATTTAGAGCAAAACTTGGCAGCCTAAAAGGTTCTATAAAATTTTACCAAGCCGTAATACTGTGTATTTTGCTTTAGAGTATTAGTGTATTCTGTGACCAGAAATTTTCTTTAATATTCCTCAGGAAGAAGGGAGAGGAGTGGAAGGAATATTTGATTATTTTTATATGGATGAATATGTAGACAGCTAGATAGATTTGTCCTTCAAGTGAAAAAGGCTACAATTCTTTCCATGGACCTATCATCCAACCGAAGCACCACAGGAAACTTTATGACTTCTTCCCCTCTGTTTTATCTGCCATGTTACATACAGAAGTCATCTATTATATCACAGATTGTTTTTATTTCCTCCTATCACATTGCTGGCTTTCTTTACCTCCTGTCAAATACAGTTGGATTGTACCCAGCATTCAGTGTGCCTGCTAAAAACATTCAGATTTGGCTACATTTAGAAAAAAGTTATAAAGTGTGGATAGAACAAGTCACTAATATTTTTTATCTTCTAAAGAGTCATTTGAATATGTGAGATTTTCCAGTAGAGTTTAATACTGAGAAAAAATGACAGCTGAAGTGCCCTACAAATAGGTTTGGTCATGGATGTATACTACCAAAATATCCCTTAAGTAAAATAAAAACTCTGTATGTGATAAATAAATAAAATCATTTTTCCTTCCATTTTCCACTATGATACTTATTTCATTCATAGAGGATATCTTACAGAATTGGCTTTTCTGCATTCTTTTATAGAATATAGTAATATAGTTCTCATTACTTACAGACAAATGTGGACCCAGCATCTACGTTTAAGAGAGAAAATGATTCCTATTACTGATTATAAATGGTTCAATTACTGGCTGTAAATGCTCACCAACAGACTGAAGTTTCAGATACTGGCTCACACACTGAAAAACACACAGAAATTGGTGGGTTTCTCCCACCTAACCTATGAAACACTTTTTTTCCAGGCTATTCCTTCAGTCCTCAGTCAGTGGAGGTGCTACCAGAAGACAGTTCCCCTGACCTGTCTTAAATTGCTATCCTCAGATGGCAGAATTCTCTGCCTGAAAATGTGCCAAACACACAGGAAGCCTTGTCCAGTCATCCAAATGTTAGATAAGGCAAAATTTACCATAAAGGTCTGTGGTAGTTCCTCCACTCTGTGGCTTCTGCTCCAGAAGAAACAGTCAGAGCTGTCTGTGTAAACCTCAACTAGATTCCCCACTGGACCAATCACACTAATAAATAGAATCTAACTAGACAGTTCATGCAATATAGAGCACTTGGTGCCCTCAAGACTCTGGTGAAAGTGGTAATTTAGATCCTATCAAAAACTCTAAGAGAAAAGGATTCTCTACTGTTCTGTTCACACAGCACAGCACTCCATGGGGTCCTTTTTCAGGACCAGAACCTCCTTTTGCTGCTTTGTCCCTCCAAGCTCCACCACTTGTAGGACACATGCAGAACACAACAGAAAAAATTCAGCAACAAAAGAGACCTCACCGTTCTTTCCTGTGATGAACAAAAGGTTCCACATCCAAGTAAGGAATGCATTTCAGCCTCAGAAGGGAGCTGTACAGGGATGTGTTAAAAATGTCACCAACCATCTTGGCCGTCATGACAGCCAGCATTATCAGCAGCAAGGACTGGACATCATTTGTGATCTCTACCTAAGGAGAAAAAAAAACATTTTTTTCATACAACTGGTGACATCGGCAATGATTGCAGAGGACTGCCTACTTTTTTCACAGGGGAGTAGGAAGTAATTCAGATACCCTGCAGCTGCTATAAGTGGAAGGGCACTTTCCCTCCTTTCCAGAGATGGGAAATCTATCAACACTTCCCCCAAAAGGCCTTGGCTGATACAGTGACAGCTCCCCCCTCCCATTCCCATCATCTTGAAGCACTGTGCTGACATTGAAATTCATGTCTGAGTCCCATATTTCAGGTGGCTTGTGACAATTCTGCAGTTATCAGAGAAGGGTAAGTAGAGATGAAGTAGTTAGATTGTTTTAAATAGTTTGGCAGTGTGACTAATATTAAAAAATGCAAATAAATCCAAGTATTTTTCTTTCTTGCTGAGCTCAGGAGATATAAAATCTTTTTCCCATACTGCTGCTTCCTGACAGAACAAGCTCTTTGTACTAACATCATCTCGAAGAACGCCAGAAAAGAGAACAAGGAGCTCTTGGCAGAAGTCCAGCTCAGGAGATCAAGAAGCAGGAACACTGCACAGTTACCATGCTCAGCGGCATCTGGCAGTACAAGGCTGGTGCAGACATCCTTTTCCCTGCGATCATGAGTCGATCAATATGGCACTGCAACACCCATTTTAGGGAAACAGAGTGTATGTGCAGATTATGGGGTAAAGTATCTAAGATAATATGTCTTACCTAAGAATATCTACACTTTCGCTCTGCATAGTTAGGGTACAGTCAGATGGGTGGCAACATGTTTAGCATGTTTTAATATCTTATCCCCCCATTCAGCCATTTGATTTTGCTTCCACAGTTGGACACAACACCATATTGTTAACTCACTTCAATGCCATGGTTGACTAGGTTTTCTCATCCTGCAGACTTCATGAAGCACACCAATACAACTGCCTTTGAACAAAGGATTCAGAATGAATCACTGTATACAAAGTACAGAGTAACGTGAATGGACTTCAGTCTGTTTACAGCTTGTTTAGCTTGGAGAAGAGAAGGCTCCAGGAAGACCTCATTGTTATCTTCCAGTACCTGAAGGGAGCTTATAAACAGGAGGGGGAGCGGCTGTTTAAAAGGGTGGATGGTGCTAGGACAAGAGGGAATGGTTTTAAACTAAGATAGGGGAGGTTTAGGTTAGATATTAGGAGGAAGTTTTTCACTCAGAGGGTGGAGACGCACTGGAACAGGTTGCCCAAGGAGGCTGTGGATGCCCCATCCCTGGAGGCATTCAAGGCCAGGCTGGATGTGGCTCTGGGCAGCCTGGTCTGGTGGTTGGTGACCCTGCACATAGCATGGGGTTGAAACTATGTGATCATTGGGGTCCTTTTCAACCTGGGCCATTCTATGATTCTATGGATTCACAACCAAGTCAAACATTTTTCTTGGTCAAAATTACTGCACAGAAATATTCTCTTTATGCTACTTTGTTAAAGGTTTTATTAAAAATTTCTCTCTCCTTCCCATTATTTCCCCTTTTCTATTTTAAAATAAGAAGATTATTCATTGGCAGTTATCCCAGAATTAAATATGCAAACTTTCCTCCTAACATTAAACTTTTCTCCAAGTCAGACAAAGTGAATTGCAGTATGTTGTCATTTACTAGTCCTCATTAGGTATAAACTGTTAAGTACTCCAAGCAACCACATTCAAAGAATGCCAGTAAACATATTTCTGCCTGATAAGCTGTAGTACATTTATCCAGGCTTTATATTTTCACCCTTGTGTCTTCATTCTGGGTTCAGAATGATAACATCAGGGATGATTTAGAGTATATGCCAATGAGGGGCTCATATGGCACGTTCAGTCATGCACGACAGGGTCATGTAACTGTCCTTTCTACTTGGACATAGCTGAGGATTTTTAATAACACCACAGCATTCTTTGAATGTCTCTTTAAACCTAGCATTTGGCTGTTTTATTTTAAAACACCAGGAACATGTCAGTTGAAAGGAAAACAGCAACTGTGGGATTTTAAGAATTGCTTCATCATATCTGCCACAATTCATTCACACAGATGGAGACTCTTTATTGTGGATTCCTTTTTAGGTTATTTTTAAAGAATCTTGCTATGGGGAACTCTTCTAGAATAAAGTAAGCATTAAAAATTAATATTAAAAACACTCCAAAAAGCTATAAAAGAACTCTAAAACTCTGACTTCAAAAACTCTCTAAACTCATACTCTGAAAACTCTCTCAAGTGATTATTTTAACCTATACTAAAAAAAAAATTCCTCCAGAATATGGTGAGATAGTATTCATTAAATTGTGTGGACGCATTACTACCATTCAAAAAATCAGTAGAAACCCTCTGGGGTTCTGAACAAGAACTGAACAAAACCTGAATGCAGACTAGAGAACTGAAGCCATGTGTTCCTCCGTTCTTCCAGGCACAGGAAGCTAGGCATCCAGCAACTGAGACATCTGCCAGAAAGGACAAAAGAAGCTGCCGCCATGAAGTTCAGCCCAAGCAAAAGGCCCAAGAAGGCTGATTACAAGCAGACATTACTGCTTGCTTTGTCCAGAGCACCAGAGCATGTCTGATGCCACGAGAGCCTCGGGGTGCTGAGATGAGGAGAAGCACTGTTTGCTCATCCCAGAAGCTGCAATTGTGACCATCTCCAAAACAGTAAGAACTATAAAGCTGGCTTTCTAGGCTCCCATCCTTGCTCTTTATCCCATTTTATCCCTTCTTCCTACCCTCCCATCCTCTAGTGGGAACAGCCAAGCTGGCCTGGCCTGTGCTTTCTTCTTTTATTCTCTCAAGTATTCAGCAGAATTTTACATCTGCTATTGAGAAACTCTGTGGCTGGTGCTGATTTTCCCCAGCATTGCAGCCCTCCTGCATGGGGATGGCTCTTCTCTACAGCACTGAGTATTTGCAATGCAAACACTCAGAGCAAGTGCCTCTAGGTTCAGCATCAGGCTTTGCTTCCTCCAAGAGTTAATGCTTGCCAAGCAGAAACGCTGTTTATCTTTGGCAGCCCGGCATGGCTGAGGTCATTAAAGAAAGACATGTTAAAAGCATTTTGAGCAATATCTTCTATATGTAAGTAAATTGAAACTTTAGCCAAAACAGAACAACTAGAACAACTACGGTTGTCCTGAACTCTCACTATAGGTTGAAAACCCAGAGACAATTTTTGTGATACTGAATTGTCTTGAGAATATGATAATGGTAGAGCAAAATCTTAAAGCAGATGACTTAGAAATTATATAAATGATATATATTTGGAGCATAGCATAAAGAATATATACAATTATTTTAGAATGTCAAGAAAACTTTGCATGAAAATGCAATCCACTGTGAAACTTAAGATAAGATGAAGCTGTGTACACTAATTATAGATCAAGTTATCTGTGACACTAGCCTAGAGCAAAAGCTTTATTAAAGATCAACCTGATTCCACAACAAGAGAGCTAGAGAAAACCTTATGTCCTACCTTTTGGAGGTTTCAAGCTATAGAATAATGTTTATTAACTACAGAAACATATCAAATATGAAAATAGATGCTAGAGATCAAATCAGAAATGCTGGGGAAGGGAACTGCAACAAAGAAAGATTCACTTACAAAAGTGCAGTCACTCACATCGAGAAATTATGCATCTCAGCGGTGAAGGAGAAGGAGGAATTCAACAATACTTGTCAAAAGTAGCTAAAAGCTAAGCCCATTAGTGACAAAGATGATGACAATGAAGCAGTAAAGTTCTCCTTAGGGTATCTTGATGAAAATCAAGGAAGTGCAGATTAATCCAACAACTGTGATGGATTCAAGTCATCTTATACAAACACACAGACACCCACAAACCTACATGCACATATGTGCACTCTGTAACACTGTGTGAGCAGTCCCTGTGCAGAGAAGGGCCATCTGTTCCCTGCCATGAGAGACAAAGTGCAGAGCCTTGGGGCTCCTCCGCATGGGGAAGTCAGCACATGGTGAGCCCGGGTGTGAATTTACGGCACATTAACTACCCTGCACTAACTGCCCATTTGGGTACTCTTGGCACACATGAAGAGAAAAACATCCTTCGCCATCAAAAAGGAGCAAGCCTAGCTCACACAAAAGCACTCTCAGTAGGTTCTAGAAGTATCCACTTAGTGAATTGGTGCCAAGTAGCCAGCAGGCTGTAAATTCACACTGGTGCTCTCCGTAAGCCCATTCTGCCTGCAGACAGGTCCTGGTGAGCTCTCACCTAGCAAGGCCAGCCACAGCCCAGCACCACTAGGAGCTCATCTGGTCCAGGGCTGGAAGACAATGCGGCCACTGCTTTAACACCCCTGTCTGCTCCCACAACTTCCTAAAGAACCTACAGAAGGAACAACTTACACAGAGCACTAAAGGGAGAGAGAAAATAAAGGTGACAAAAGCAGAGGGAGGGGGAAAATTGGGGCAGCCACTAAACGCCTTCAACTCTTCAGCAAAGAAACGTGCTGTTTCATTTATTGATATTCGTTCCAAGCCTGCATTTTAGGGGCTGCTCTTTAGGATGCAATTTACACTCAGTGCATATTGCCAGATTTTTTTATTTTTTTTTTTTTCCTTTTGATCTTACGGGTCCAGCAGGCTGTGCCAAAAATTTCTTAGCCTAGGGCACCCATCTCTACAGAGCCAGCAGCATTAATAGATGCTGGAAACAGTCGGCGCTGACACTTCATACATCAGCAGCCCAGTAAATTGCACCTATTTTTTTCAATATTCTCTCTATATACAAAATATTGAAATATGTCATTTGCACACACATGCATGCAGACCACAATTAATTTATTAGCACAGTTATTCAAAGCTCTTTAAATGTCCTCTTTGTCACTGGAGGCACTTTTCAACAACCCCCACGGTCCCCAGTTTCTCAGGCCTCCACATCATTATAATCCGTTAGCCACCTTCATGTTAGCTCAGTTTTATTATATAACACATAATTATGCATTTCATTAACAGCATCACCAGGCACAGCACATCAAA